AATATGTATTTTTAAAAATTTACAAATTTTTACAGTCTTTATTTCACAGTTCAAATATATGTTTATCAAATAAAGTCTAATGTTACAACTAATCGTGGATCCCTTTAAATTAAAGATATAAAGCAAAAAAAGTGACTTACTCTGGCCGTACTGGCTGTACTGGTAGCCCGCGGTGACAGGGTCCACGCTGTAGCTGGTGGCGCTGTAGGTGGGGGGGCAGTATGACTGAGAGGAAGCCAGGCTGTCCACGCTCTTGATGGTGTCAGAGCGCTGGCTGCAGCTCGCTGAGATGGGGTTGGAGCTCTCCAGGCTGCCATGCAGGGGGGAAATGGAGAAGTCGTGCTGAGGCTGAGAGGGTACGGCGCTGGGGTTACTCAGGATACTCATCACCTGCAGCGAATAGGAGTGGAGAGGGAGAGAGAGGGAAAAAAAGATGTTTGAAACTTGGAAAATTGAGGATCAAAGCAGTGACAGGGTTGAGGAATAGTACTTTTCCCCTCCCCTGCAAGTATAGTTGCCATCCTTGCTCTTCACGGTGAAGACGGCAAWAGAAATACACAATTTCAACTTTGAAATGGGAAAAAGGAGAAACTTCTCCCCTTTTTTTCATTTAGTCAAGCGGAGGGATGAGTATGAAGAGGTTAAGAAAACTGTAAAATGGAACAAGAGACACTGTTTCCATTAGCTGGCAGTGTCAGAAAACGTTCTACTGTGGGACAGAAGGGTCCCAGTATGATAATAGACCCACCATACTTGCCAGACAGCTTGCATCCCAGAGCCTGAGGCCTGAGCCCAAGCCTACGGCACAACAAGCACCAAGGGAGTCCCTAATCCCTCGCCCCTAGCCTACCCATCTCATGAATAGTAATGGAGTTGGAACTGGTAAACGATCCCCTCAGATCCCCACACAAAGTCGGCTCCACAAACCAAAGCGAGGGGGCCCACTGATACTGCAAATCTGAGTTTGAYTAAACATTACAAAATCCATATAATTCAAAGTGCATAAAAGCTTCAAATTCAATATCCTAGATTAATGTAATGGGAGGTTTCTCAGAAGACGGCTTCAAATTGTGTTGGAACAGAGGAAAAATGCTGCTGGTGTTTCTCCAAGCTGAAGGACAGCACGCTGTGAAAACTGCTGGCAAATTTGTGTGTGTGTGTGTGTGTGTGTGTGTGTGTGTGTGTGTGTGTGTGTGTGTGTGTGTGTGTGTGTGTGTGTGT